TTACAGAAGAAATCTCCCTGTAATCTCCCTGCACACATGCATACGCTCACATAATCACTTTTATTTACTTTTATAAGTCTTCTTACTTGTATTTACTTTTACATTGTAACTTATCTTCTGGTGTCACTCTTCAGTTGTTAAGTCCACAACTGTCATTCGTGGCTAATCTCAAAAACAATCCTGCAAAACACCTTACATTAAACAGCTGGTAGCACTACTATGAAGCCAGGCTTCTGCCATTCTGCACACAAAATTTTGGAACTGCACTGTAATTTCTTTGGTTCTGGAACTGTATTGAGCTCCAGGAAACTTGCTCCCAGTGTAAGGTAAAGAAGTTTGTACTGCAAGTAGGCTTTTGGCTTCATACAAAGAAGAAAAAAAGAATTAAACTTGCATACAGCAGGAGAACTGACAAGTCATAGGAATCTTTTATAAAAAAAAAAAATCACACTTCAAGGAACATGATCATTTTTCTGTCAGCCTATTAGCAAAGGGAATAAACAAACCCACATATTTTAAGAAACAGCAGATGTTGTTTGAAAACAAATTACTCTTTACTATACATACAAAGCCTAATGCAACCTGAAAGCAATATTAGCCTGCTAAAGTAAATGTACAGCAATTTACTGAAGATACTGAAGAGGATTTTCAGCAGTTCACAGAAATTGCCAAAATTAACTACTGCAGTTTTTCTTTATTATTGAAGGTTATTATGAAATACATTAAAGCATTCTATTAAACACTCCACATCACTGAACATCAATAAATTAATCCTATGTTGTAGAGAGATGGGCTAAATGGTTTAGACTACATTATTTCACATTGCGTGGTTCTATCAAGTTGTGATCTCAATTTCTAAAGACACTAGAGAAAAAAAAAAAGAACTAGTTCCTACATTAAGCAAATTCCATAACTTAAATAATGTGAAGGAAAACTGCTCTGCTTCTAATGTACAATACAACTATTTCAACTAGCAAACAATTTGAGAATGCCAAAGCTTTAACTGAAATCCGAGATGAGCATCTTATTTTCTTCCCCAGCTATTTAACCAAGTGTCTTAATCGTGCATGTTACCAACATAGGAAGTCCCAAATAGCTCATTACCTACATGATGCTGCAGAGGGACCACTACACCTTCAAATCACAAATTCGAGAGGCTAGAAAAAGCAACCAGGAATTCAAGTAAGAAGCTTAGGAACATGAAAATGGAACTTAGGACATGAAGTACAGCTAACAATAGTGATAAAACTATGCAAAAAAATAACAAGGGGAGCATTATAAACCAATACCCTGCATGGAACCACTGACGCAGCCATTCCTCAGCAAGTATTGCAGGAGAGAAAGAACACCTGGCAAAGCCAAAAGCATGAATAAGCATTCTCAGTTAAAGTGTTCATATTTCACTGTTATCGTACTGTTCTTGGAGAAAAAAAAAAAAAAAAAGAAAGAAGAAAAAAATCACACTATGCAGGTTAAAATGCCACATATGGAAAAAATTCTGAAGAGATACTTACATTTGCAAGGTCAAAAACCACCACAACCTAAGAAAACAGACTACAGTATTTCAATGCTTCCTTTACGTATTTGCTTTGTGTATCTCAGGGAATAAAGTTGCAACTGCAGTTAGAAAGCCTTTCCCTGATTTTGCAGTGAACATTGTTCTAATTGCAATTTGATTTAAACTTGATACTAATTGCAACACTTTTTGACAAAATTTAGTTCCCTGAGAACAGGTCAGGCATGAAGAGTGCTTACCCAAGTCAAAGGTTCCACCTGTCATTTACTGAAAACAGCCCTAAGAGTACAAAAAGATGAGACATCTTTGTTCAAACCAAGGGCTAACAGAGTTACACAAAACTATGTTCTTCGAAAATGAAGGGAAGTAAATAAAACTCTGAACTACTAACTCTATTAGTTGCCTAACACAGGTAACTTGCTAACTTCATCAGGTTATCTGAGTGAAGATACCAGCTCATTTTCTCTAAAATTTGTCAGATACAAAAATAACACATTTTAAAAAAGGTAAATCCCTAATTGCTTTAAATATATGGAATTCATCTGAAAGTTTACTGCCTTCTTTCAATTTTAGAACAATGAATCAAATCAAAACATTTTCCGAGGAGGAGGAAACAGCTGAAGTAAATCAGATAAATGCTAATCATGATAGAAGGAATTATTTTTTTCATCTATAGCTAGTACAGCAAACCCAGTATGGTGTGATTTCTGAAGTTATAAAAAAAAAAAAGCTAAAAAGGTAAAAAGAGATGAGGACTTAATGTAGAACTTTGTGAGAAGGTCGGAGCCAAAATAACTTTCCTCAAGGACAGCATAAACATCTGGTTCAGCAAAATGAAAGATTTATCTCTGCTATTACAAAATGTTCAGCAACTACTAGTGGGAAAAAGAAGTATAGAACTAATATAAAAAAGAATAACACCATTAATTTCATTTTTCAGGGCAACGTTTAAAAACATTTAATTCAAAAGCACTGATTTAAGAACTTAAAGAATTCATAAATACAAATTTGTAGTATGCAAAATGGAATTTGGTTTTGAAAAAATATTTAGATGTTAAAAATTACACAGAAAAATCTATTATAGTAATCCTATTTGAATACAAATACACATTATACTGAACTTTCACCAACTTCTAACTCATTTTCTTGTGAAAAGCATATAATAAAATAAACGGTAGGACCACAGAGGGTAGAAGTAGAAATTTGGGACTGATGAAATCTGCAGATGAGTTCTGTAACTTCCGCAGTAAGGTAAGAAAAGAGACATCTTCATTCTTATAGGAAGAATTCTGAAGAATGAATATCCTCAACAGCTACTGCCACTTTCTAGACTGACTGTTCTTGCTTTAGACTCACTGTTTCAGTTGCCCTGGTTTTGGATGGGCCCAGCTTTTACTTTCTCTGCATTTCAATCAGCATTTTAGGACAACCCTCAGAAGAGAAGGTATGGCCTCCCAGTTTCACCTTTTATTCTTTTTCTGTCTAAGAAATGTTGCCTGTTAATGTGAAAGGTTGAAAATACAAGACCTGTATTTTTTCGGACTGTAGGCAAGTTTTCAGCTTTTCAAGAAACCCCTAACATTTGATCGAAGAGGTCTCTTCGTGTGCCTGATTTAAATCACAGAGATGCGTAAGAAGAAACAATGAGTCAAAAGAAGAAATGACTCAGGTATCTCACATGGAACAAAACAGCCTTCTCTTTGTGGCTTGACAAAATAAAATTAATAACAACAGCAACTCTTCTTTAAAATTGCCATAAATTTAGCCAGGGAAAAAAAAAAGTTAACCTTGTTAATAAATAGCACTGTGAGTCTTCCACAACCATTACATTGTAAAATGACAAATACTGTTTGGCTTCTGCTAGTGTGAGTGCTTTTATGGTACGCTTACAGAATTGGCTTTCAAAAGATAACTTTTTCCTAGGTGTGCACTCTGAGGTCACAGAGTGCCTTAAGGACAGGCTACTTCCTTTACATTTTTTTCTCCTCATGCTAGAGGGATGTTCAGTACCTGACATGTTAGTTTGCAGGAAGCCTTTTAAGTAAGTTATTTTGTAAGGAATATATTGTAGAAGTACTGATGTACAGTCTGCATAATCTCCTTTAATGGACTTTAAGACCAGTTAGACATACTGCACGTGGGATGTGTCTTGGTATCTTTCCACTCTGCTTCGGAATAAGGAATCAAAGCAGAATTCCTTTTCCTGAGACTACACAAAAATATAGGACCACTTCTCTATCTTACTGCCTCACGCACTCATCTTCAAAATAGCAAGTTTTCTAAGCCCCGACTTCTGCTCACTTACTTAAACCATCACTTTGCCAAATCCTTCATTTTATACCAACCAGTACTGTACTTTATGCAGTTATTGTACATTCGACTTTATCCTAGGTACAGATTACACTCTAACCTCACATTCAGACTCTCACAGGAGGTAATCCACTTGCTACTGAAGTCCACAACATGAACCCATTAATTTTGAAAGTGCACCCAGAGCTATCCAATGTCATAACTTCTACTAGAAACTTATCACTGGAAATAATTACTTCTAATCTCTAGTGAGCTATATATAATGTTCAGAAGAAAGTTTGTAAAGGAAGGAGATTCATCCTTCTAAACTGACAAAGGCTAAAGCTGTAAAACAAGATGCCTTAGCCATAAAAACGATAAAGATTACATGAACCTGTCATGGGCTATTATTATCTTCTTCCTATGAATAAAAATACTGAAAATAGCAAAATACAGATCTTTCACAAGAAGCTGGAGAACCAAGGAAAAAGTGGTCTACATTAGGCTCATTAAGGTACTTATATATTTCACAGTTAGCTTTAAAGATGGAAAAGTAGGTCATAAACCAACTCTCTTCTTATGTCCAGTCCCTGCACAAGAGTGATTTCTAACGGATGCAAAGCATTAACACCACCACAAAGCCCACAAAACTAATGCAAGACTTAGTGCTGAACTACTTTTGGTAAGGTCTCATCAGTACAGGAATTACCCCAAGGTCACAAACTTTTTAAAAGTACAAATCCCAGTTCCTTCCCTCCCTGCTACCTTTCCTGTGAAGTCTAAAGAATTTTGATTATTTAAATCAAAGAATTGTTTAAACAATTTTGATCTTGTAGGACTGTATCTATTAGAAAATTATTTAACTTACATCATCAACTGACATAGGTAAAGCAAATCCCTACTCAGCACACTGTACAACTATAACTGTTTCTCTTCCCTAAAAGGTCAATTTTTATGACAATAAGCATTAACATATTCTTAACTTTTTGTATCCTTTAGTAATAAACTTAAGAATTCTACATTTTTATTCTAATTGAGCTACGAACACAGGAGAGTGTTAAAAACAACATGCAAATGCAAAAAAAAAAACCACCAACAGTCCTTACACAAAAATAAAAGTGGCAGTACCAGACCTAAAATAAAATTACACCAGTATTTTCATGTTTTCAAGAAATAAATAAGGTGGCATACATACTTTTCTGCTTGGAGCTTTGTTGTTTTTACTATCAAGTCCTGGGTTTGTTCCTTTGCTGCCTAGAATACAATTAGAATCATCAAGAATGTGAAAAACACAAACATGTCAAATGCATTACACAACTTCTAAAATATATAATACATTTGAAGTATTTCTCAAGTCTCCCAATTTTCAGGCATTAAAAAGAAGACAACAATCTTATCTATACATATTTTTATCATTATATATATTCATATTTGCACACCAGTCTGTTGTTTGGACTGCATGATACCACAACCTTACAAAACAATAAAGGTAAAGAGCTTTCTGATTAATGAATACAGTCCCTTTCATATCTTATATTTGTTCTGCTCTCTTAATATGCTACTTTTTAAGCACTCTTATGCCTTATATGCTATGGATATTCCTATTCATATGTTGTTTTCTCTCTATTCTTAGTACATTGATGCCTTCTTATTCAACTATAACACATGCTTGGAAGTCTTGATGTCCTATTACAGATAAAACAGCAGAATGTTTGACAACCAAGTGCTAATTCCTGGCCCTGTTAACTTACTTTCTATTCGTACAGCTAAAGAAAACATGTGTTGAATTAAGACAAGTTATGAGTGCTAAAGGGCACTAGCAGAAACCTCCTCTGGGGCACAGCACAAAACTACCTACTGATTTTAACAGAAAAAGAGATCGCCGTGGGATGGCTCTAGTGTAAAAAGAAAAAAAAATCACAGATGACAGCTACACTTCATGATCTAAAGACAGAAAAGAACAAAAAGCCGCATGGACACTCAACTCATTTCCACATCTGACAGTTTAGTCAAACTGTTCCTGAACTGCATTAGGGAATACATCCAGATTAACAGCATTCAAAGAGATGTGAGACCTCAGAGCTACATTACTCATCGCTTTCCAAAACTGAAAATTAAGTACTGCAGCAGGCTAACTGTATTCTCACACTTTTTGGCACAAGTTCATCAAACTACAAGCATTCTCAGGAGGATTACATATCATTTCCATGAAACCTCTTCACTTAATTACCTTTTGAGTACACATCAGGGGAAAAAGGAAAGGTTATCACAGGAGACTTTAGTGAAGAATCCTCATTCACACGCTACAATTTATGTGCTGTACTCAGAACAGATTTGGTTTGGCAAACATCTACACTTCAGTATCCATAATCCTTTTAAACTCATGACTGTTCTGAATATTGAACTTGTACATTGAAACCAGATAAGATTTAGCAATGTGTTATGAAACACCTACATCGTGGCTTCGGGATTAATATGGAACAAATTGCTTTTGTTGCACAAAGGCATCCTGAGACATGTTATGAAACAAAACCAACAGAATCAAGATGGTACACTAGAGTGTTCTTGCTCAATGGATAACAAGATAATTTCTTATAAATATACTTGATGTATTTATGCGAACATGTAATTCAACAGCTTTAGTCGGTGTGAATGATTCAAATTTTAAATCAAAAACCACGAAAATAGTTAACCCTTTAATCTATCACACATGTAGTCTAATGAAATATTTTCTCTCCACTCAAACACAAATACTACCTTGATACTCTCAGAGAAGTGTATCGCTATGTTCAAAATTTGAACTTGGAAGAAAGCAAAATAATTTCCTCAACACATTTTTCAAGTAAAAAGAAACATTAATATTTTAAAATACATAATACACATACTAGTGAAACATCTGTGTCACTGTTAATCCTCCAAAATAACTATTCTTCTAAAAGAAAATAGTTAAATCCTAAAAAGAAAAATACGCAGAGCACATTTGTTCATATATTACCTTTAAACGACTGGACATATCTTCACAGCAGCTGCTCATCGCTTGAACATCTTCATTTATACTCTCAAGCTCCTAAATAAGTTAAAATAACAGTAAGAGAGAGTCCAAGAACAGAGAGAGTCCAAAGGAAGGCCATGAAGACAACCAAAGGGCTGGAGAACCTGCCCTCTGCAGAAAAACTGAAGGAGTTAGTTCTGTTCACCTAGAAAAATCAATGGTTCAGTGGATATCTCATCACTGTATTGCAGTACTTAAAGGCTGGCTACAGAGAGGACAGATGCTCTCTCTTCACAAGGACCCACATGGAAAAGATAAAGGGCAAGAGGCACAAATTGTTTGGGAGAAGTTTCCTCTTGATAGAAGAAAGAATTTTTTTTACAGTGAGAACAATCAATCACTTGGGCAATCTTCCCAAGTACATGGCAGATCCCCTTTACTGGAGGTTTACAAGATGCAATTGGACCGGGTGCCAGATAATCTCATCTAGGCCCTCCTTTTCCCATGAAAGGTTGGACCTGATGATCTTCTGAAGTGTCTTCCAACCTGAGTTGGTCTTATGATTCTACAGTTACTCTATATAATCAATGGAGAGAAAGCACCCCTAAAGATCAATGTTCACCTGAATCTTTTTTTGTTTGTTTGAAATATCACCTGTGTGCAATGTTTTCATCAAATGGTATGAACAATTAAACATTTTTATTGTAAATGTATTTGTCTAGGAAAAAATCATGATTTCTCATAACCCTTTTTTCTTTTTTAAATCATACTCTGACAAGATAGCTAATCAAACTGTAAAACTGCTACCTCTTTAACTTGCTTGAATATGTGGACAAATTCTTCATTTATGGCTAAGCTTCGTCGTTCAATGTCTCCACGCAAATTTCTTCGGGTCCGCAAGCTATTTTCAACAAAAAAGGTTGAGAGAGCCTTGAGTGCTTCCAGCATTTCCTAAAAAGTAGAAAGGCAAATTAAATTAACATTTCACTAGGTTATAAAGAAGCACATTGCACAGTCTGCAGCCACCCCAAATTCACTGCTTTAGACAAAAAGGTACAGTATAGAATCACAGGATCATGAAGGTTGGAAAAGACCTTCAAGATCAATTGGTCCAACCATCCCCCTACCACCAATGTCACCCACCAAACCATGTCCCCAGGCACCACGTCCAACCTCTTCTTGAATACCCCCAGGGACGGTGACTCCACCACCTCCCTGGGCAACCCGTCCCAGTGCCTGACTGCTCTTTCTGAGCAGAAATGTCTCCTCACTGCCAACCTGAACCTCCCCTGGCACAGCTTGAGGCCATTCCCTCTGGTCCTGTCACTGGTTACCTGTGAGCAGAGGCCGACCCCCAGCTCCCCACCCCTTCCTTTCAGGCAGTTGCAGAGAGCAATGAGGTCTGCCCTGAGCCTCCTCTTCCCCAGCCCAAACACCCCCAGCTCCCTCAGCCGCTCCTCACAGGCCTTGTGCTCCAGGCCCCTCACCAGCTCCGTAGCCCTGCTCTGGACACGCTCCAGGGCCTCCATGTCCTTGTAGCGAGGGGCCCAAAACTGAACACAGTACTCGAGGTGCGGCCTCACCTGAGCCAAATACAGGGGGACGATCACCTCCCTGCTCCTGCTGGCCATACTGCTCCCGACACAAGCCAGGATGCCGTTGGCCTCCTTGGCCACCTGGCCACACTGCCGGCTCAGGTCTCTCGTCTTTGTATATGTTTTAACAGACTCTTATCTATTTATTTTTTTCCTTTATAACTGCTTTAACCAGAAAGCTCACAGCTGGTTAAAGCACGACTACAAAACACCTCAACCAGGAGAAGCCTCAGCGGTGCCACCCCAACTACGTGGCACCAGCGTCCCCAGCACGGGCAGCGATGCGGGGCATACCCCGAGGGGCCAAAACCCAACTTTTATCCCCAGTTCCCACTGCAGACCCCTGCCTGCCCCCGGGGACAGCGCCGAGGGCTCCCTTCTCCCTTCGGGGAGCCTGCGGGGGCCCTGCGGCCCCCGGCCCGGCTCTGCCGCCCCCTTCGCCCCCCTCAGCGGCGGTGCCGGAGCCCGTGCTCCCCACCTTGTCGTTGTCCAGCCGTGTCTCCAGGATTTTATTGAGCTTTCGGGCCAGCGGGTTGATGCCGGGGCCCGCCGGGGCTGCGACCTGCGGCGGGGCGGCGGTGTCGGCCATGGCTGCGTGCGGCGGCGGAGCGGCTCCCGAGGAAACGCGCTCCCCGGGCTTTGGTTCCTCCTGCAAGGCTGGCGCTGTGTGACAGGCAGACAGACAGACAGGCACCGACAGACACACAGAAAGTCACCCTCTGCCTGCTCCACAAGCGTGGTGCCGGCTACGGTCCCGAGATCCTGCAGCTTGCAGGGCGGGAGCCGAGTTGAGTCCGTCTGGGGGGCGCGGAGGGGACACGGGCTCACAGAGGCCGCCGAGGGGCTTTGAAAGATTAACCTTTTAAAGTTGGAATTGTAAAAGATTTCTCTGTTTTACTTACACGCTGCATTCCTGGAATACCTATCTGTAATCCTGCAAACATACTTTGTTAGTATCTGAAATGGGGTTCGTTACCATTCGTGTTGGTTATGAGACCAAAATACACGACCCCTGGTACCTGCAGTTCTTAGGGAACAAGGAAAATTTGGAGATTTGTGATAAGAAAAAAGATTATCTTCCTGAGGTCGCATGGCTGTATTCATTTCATGCTTGCTGTGTAAATGAGTGTAACTAAAAAAAGAAATGTAAAAGAAATGGGCTATTGTTATACAAATGAAAGTAAAAGCATGTCAAAATGGGGAGATCTTACATTGGCCATTCATTTACTGAAACAGATTATAGCTCTGAGGTTTGTTTTCTTCTTGTCATGTCATTTTCTTCTTGTAGATAGTCAGCAAACAGATCTTCATGTGTTTTTAGACACCTAGTTTCCCTCCTTAGCTTCTGTGTCTCTGCCCTATTTTGTTGGTATTACCTCTTCCCAGACGTCCCTTACTTCTGACCAAGCTTCGAGGAGCCAGGATCTCCCTTCTCCATGTTAGGAATCTGCTTTAAAAAGATTAGACAGATTTAGACAGGTTTAATTTTTTAAAAAATTAAGAGATAAAACATGCAGTCACAGGTGAATGCCATCACAGATGTGAGCAATTATATTTAAGCATGTAAAGAAAACTCCATTATTAGAAAGATCGCATCCCAACTTGAAATTGGATATTGCTACCAGCCTGAACAAAGATTCCAATGCCATTAACCTGTTGGATGAGTTGACACAGCAAAGGCACACCTTGAACTCAGAAGGACTTTAACATCTGAAGAACCACAAGCGTCAAGATAAGATCATTGCCAAGCCTCATCCAGCAAGTTATACCACAGACATATAAGGAACCACAAACGTTTTCCTCTGTCAGTTGGTGCATGTACTGTCTTTTGAAGCATCCACTTTTGCTTTCAGACGCTCCTTGATGGAAGTGTATCTTTTCATGAATTTGTTTCAGGAGCCAGGTTACTTCTAGATAAGTCAGTAACCTATAGGATTTTGAAACAGTATGTGTTTATCTGTGCATGTGTTCCCCAAGAAAAATAAAAAGAAATAATCAAGGGAACACATTTTAATCTCCTATAACTGAGAGAAGCATTTGTATAAGAGCACCAGGGCTTATATATATATACACACATATATATTGTGTGTGTGTCTAGGAATATTAGATGCATCTACAAAGACAATGACAAGCAAATAAATCATTTATTTTAATGTTTACAGGCTAGATTTTTCCTCAAAAAGGATTTAAAAAAAAATATTCAAATGTGATCATGTAATGAGATCACTGCCTAAAACTCAGCTGCTGTCTCACGGCTCGTAAACGTCGTAGTGTCATGAGGGAACTTTTGACATGGCATTCTTACTGACTTACTTGTCCACCAGCAAATTGTTTCCTGTTAAGTCAACTAGATGAATATTGTGGGATAAAATGACTGGGTGTTTGTGATCTGTAACTGCCAGAGGGTGCTTTGGTTTCAGATAGCAGTCTCTGTGTGCCAGTAGAAGACACTTTGTGTATTGTGCATAATTTAAGCAAGCATAATTCTCCTCTCTAAAGCTAGATATGGCAGCAAAGCTATAGGTGTCAGCAAAGAAATGTCTGGTACATAGTGTTTTCTGTTAATTCGCTTATCTCGGTTCCTTATTATGGTGAAAGTGTTCACAAAACACACATTTGGTGCGCAACAGATAGGAGCAGAGTTTATCCTGTGGAACAACTCCTGTGGAATGCCACCTGCTGTTTAAGTAGCCCAAGCTAATATTGCAATCGTATCTTCAAACGCTTGGAGTTACACGTGTGTTTGAAAGGGAAAGACAAAAGCATTTGCAGTAGTCACCTGAATCTGTTTCTCAAAAGGCTAAATAAGAGGAAAAATCCACTGGATAGATAGATTGGCTAGGATCAGACAAAGATGCGGACAGAGCTGGTATTTCACTGCCCCTAGTATTTCCCTAGCATTTCCCTACCTGTGGTAAAAGATGTGTGACAGAGCACGACATAAAGATAATGTTTCCTTAAATATGGAGAGGGGAGAATAGCTCTTGCTATAAATGTCATGAGAAGCAAATGACAGTGAGAAAGGAGAATTTTGGTGACGAAGGAAGAAGAGAATGTAAAAATGCATTGAAAGTAGATTAATAGAAGAGACTGAGGAATATTTGGGGGAGGTAGAGAAGGAGGAGGGAAGTGAGAACAAAGGAGGAAAGACAGAAGGAGGGAAGGAAGGAAGGAAGGAAGGAAGGAAGGAAGGAAGGAAGGAAGGAAGGAAGGAAGGAAGGAAGGAAGGAAGGAAGGAAGGAAGGAAGGAAGGAAGAACAGGAAGACTGTTATAGAGTTTGCCTCAGTATGATGCATAATTAGTAGTATTTTCTCACAGTGTAATAGATAAAAAGACTATTGACAATGCTACTGTTACATACAGTTTGTAGGCCTTTCAGATGAATCAAGGAAGAGTCTCTGCAGGAAGCTGGCCATTGTAACTTGCTGCTCAGCTACCCCATCCCTGGTGAGGTGACAGCAGCCCTCTGTGTCATGGTCCCCAGAGAAACTCACAGAATCATAGAATGGTTTGAGTTGGAAAGGACCCTAAAGATCCCCTAGTTCCAGTCCTCCTGTCATGTGCCTGGATACCTTCCGCTAGATCAGGTTGCTTACAAGAATATCAGGTGAGTCGAACTCGGCTCCGCCAGGCTCTCCAAATGCAGGGTCCTGCATTGGGCTGGGACAATCCCAAGCACAAACACAGGCTGGGCAGATAATGTACTGAAAGAAGCCCTACTGAGAAGGACCTGGGGGTATTGGTTGATGAGAAGCTTGACATGAGCCAGCAATGTGCACTTTCAGTCCAGTAACCAACCATATCCTGGGCTGCATCAAAAGCAGGGTGGCCAGCAGGGCAAGGGAGGGGATTCTCCCCCTCTGCTCTGCTCTTGTGAGACCCCACCTGGAGTTTTGCCTTCAGCTCTGGGGTCCCCAGCACAAGAAGGACATAGATATATTAGAATGAGTCCAGAGGAGGGCCATGAAGATGATCAGAGGGCCAGAGTACCTTTCCTATGAAGACAGGCTGAGGGAGCTGGAGATGTTCAGCCTGGACAAGAGAAGGCTCTGGGGAGACCTTACAGTGGCCTTCCCATCCCTAAAGGGGGCCTACAGGAAAGCTGGGGAGGGACTCTTTGTCAAGAAAGAGGTTACTATTGGAGATACTTTTCACCAGACCAAACCAACCCATTCCTTAAGCTAACCACTTTTCAAAAGCTCAGACAGCATTGACCTGATCTGATCTGACCTGATCTGTAAATTAAGGTATGACTCTATGAGTGATTTGGCCAGAGATCACCCTGACAGCAACCTGTAGTCATGTAGCAAAACATGTCTGCATCCCTCGAAGCTCCAGAAAAATGTAAAGTTCTGCAGTTTTTGGTTAGCTCATGCTATCTCACTTGAGGATTTATTGTCATACCTCACGGTCAGCAGCATTGGCTATAATATATGTGATGCTGAATCAGCCACCTGGTTGAGGAGCTGTAAAACTCCTGTTTGTTATAACTCACTGAAAAAGATAACGCTAGCAGTACAGTATGCACTTTAATGCATACCAAACCTATGAAATCTTGCTGTTCATCTCCTGCTAAAAAAACAACCATTGATTTCAGGGGAAATACTGTGTCAGCAAAGCTAACAGGATTTGGTCAAAATATATTCAGCTCTAGACCTCTACTGGACTTCTCCAAGGAAGCTCTTGTCTAGATTATGTGGCCAAATTCCCAGCAAAGCCAATAACATTGGTCATGGCACTGCCACTAACTTCAGTGAGAACCAGACTTGCATCTAGAAAAAGGAAGAAAAATTTTCTGAAGAAACAAATGGCTTAGATGGTGGAGCCAAGAGCACTAGTATCTTCTTGTGGCTCTGTGCTCAGGTATAAAGCTTATCATTCTTTGCATATGCCTTTAGCATGTTGATAAGAACTTTAATATGGAAGATTATTATTAACATGATAATAAAAATGTAGTAATGAAGGGGATTTTTTTTTTTTTTTTGGGTGGGAGGAGGCAGGGGGAAGAAAAAGTAGAAACAGGATATGATTAATACATGCTGTAATGCTAATGTTGTATACCAGACCTGCTATACTTTCTCTTCTAACAATGTCCACCTATGTCCTGCTACTAAAAAGTCTCTGGAATGCGTTCTCTTTTTACAGATGAAGTAAAAGTATTCCAAACATCTGAACAATATGAACAACAACAACAAAATATTCACCATCAGGTAAAGAAACAGCTCTCTTCACTATGGTTCTGATCTCAGCTGAGGTCAGTCTCTGGCAAAGAAAACCTAGATAATGATAGAGAATGATACTTAAATTACAGGGCACTGCCTTTGCATCAGCCCATCAGTGTGAGGCCATCTATAGGATCATAACATGGCCATGACATGGATCATGAGAAGCCAACGGCAGGTAGATAAATCATAGCAATGGGCCTAACCAACTGCATGGATTTCTAATAGGAGCAGAAAAAATGCCTTTTGAGCAAATACATCATCAGCACAAGTTTTAACACGGACCATACCTGCTGCAAACTTGGCAGAGTTCCCTTTTCAGACAGCTCCTCAAGCTGCTGTATTTAAACCCAAACTTGTGGGTCAAATTGTCCCTGTCTTAAGCATGTCAGTAGAATCTTACTTTTTCTTCCCTTGAATTTTCTGCCATGTTTCCTGTGAACAGCCTGTTTGTTGTGATCTCTTTATGGAAATTGAAGTCCATACCACTACCTTAAGCTCCCATAGATAGTGATGAACCATGACTATTCATCACTGAA